ATTGAATTGTATTATTTTATTATAAGATATTAATAGGAGGATGTGCAAAACAGACAAACTAATAAGGCTTAATTTAAACATTAAAGAGTACTTTAGGTTAAGGTCTTATTTTGAATAAGAAAAAAGCTTTAAGAAGAATATGGAGGGATGAAACCCTCTTGAAACCGCAGGTCCTTCCTTCCTGCAGCGGTCAGACTTTACAACCAGCACTGCCCCTAGTAGACCCTCCTACACACACCACAACACAGACTATATCACCCCTTGCTGCTAAATACAAACCAACTTTGTGCAATATGTGCTATATGTGCAATATATATATGCCATTAATAACGGTGTAATTTATACCTGGCCACTAAATCAATATATATGCCGTTTTGTTTTTGATCTGTATTTTTGAAAATTATGTAACTTTTTATCTTTTTTTTAGCATATTGTTTATTATATTATAACTTAATACTTTTTTAGCATATTGTTTATTTTATTCTAACTTAGTACTTTTTTATCGCATGTAAGATATGCAACACTAAGCTGTCTGTGGCTCTTTCCTGCTGTAACGCTGCACATTTCCCCTCTGTGGAACTAATAAAGGTATTCTGATTCTGATTCTTTAATGGTCACACATGCAGAGCACACAGCACACACAGTGACATTTGTATCTACAGATAAATATTAAGCCTGACAAAGTACTTAACGTCTAATATATTGCTTTCCTGCAATGTTAACTATGTTTAAGCACTTATTTGTTTATTATTTGTTTATTATTAAACTGATATTATAGATATGTATTATACTCTTATAAGATGTATGTAGATAGTATAAGAAATGTGCAGAATGACAGTTTAATGGTGGAGTATACACACATATTGATAGATGTCTTGTAATGCACTGTTGAGGAACCTGCGACCCAAGTTTTTCATTCATTGCATAACTACACAGTAGTTGTGTATAATATGATATGTCAATAAACCTTAGCTTAGAAAATCTTGAAATCTTGAAAGGGATGTGCAAACTAGTCATTATATACAGTCTTTAATGAACTATTAGTAGAGAATAATGAGTAATGAATATACTTTATAGGGATCCTATTCATATCTAATAATAAAATAATAAAATTCAATAACGTGCTTTAATCACCAGGTGTCCCTTTCTATCAGCTCTGCACGGTTATGGTGTAAATACAGCCTATCTACCAATTGGATCAAATATAAAAGTCAGCCGAATTAGTGTTGATACTGCAAGGAGACGCATTGTGTGAAAAATAAATGTAAGATGTTGTTTAATTGCTGATATATTTATGATCCACGTCACATCTTCAGTTTTGGCGGCAGTTCTCCTGTTTGTCTAGAAGTCTTCTCAGCAGGGCTCTATAAATAGAGAATTACGGCAGATATGTCATATTTAATGCAGCCGAAACCGTGTATTACAATGCCGTTATGTGATGACTTTCAAAGAGAAAAGCAAGCACACTCGGAATAAAGTATTATTGTATTTTTAAAAAACGTTTTCAGATTTCACATCACATAAACACCAAATCCCAGCATGCATTGCGGATAACCATCCAATCATCGAGCTGAGGATCTTGCCTACGTCTGTTTCCGGTTTCGTTTAATGACCGATGTATTTTGTTATACACACACATTCCTTCAGATTTACATTTTAATGTGCATTCAAGTATTTCGTGAGGCCTTCTAACATGTTTTTAAATATAACTACGGTTGTAGTTGAATAGTTTGTAAATTAACATGAACCGAAGCTGTTGCTTGGCAACTCAATCGCACAACGTCACGTCCGTTAATTCCACATCCACACGCACGGATTAACATCGATTTAATACATTAATATAGCCTTTGTTTCTGCTAAAAGAGATGTCGACCAGCTGGGGCAACAAGAAAATCGCCGTAATCGAGTGTGACTATTACAAAATAAATCATTACGTCGGGGTAGCATTTGCTTGGTATTTCCGGTTATTTCTCCACTGGTTAACATGGGTTAACAATACCGTGTAGCTGTCACGTTTGAAGGGGACGAAATCGTGACATCTTCACGTCTCCCAGCATGGTAAATCGTCACATGTTCAAGTCTTGCCGTGATACCGGGTTGCTTTAAACAGAACTGTAAGCAGATGTACTATTTCTTTATGGATATTTTACAAATCACTCCCCTTTTAAACTTTATTCTTTTTTTACTGTCATATAGTATTTCATACCTGTTTTTCATTTATTCTATTATTTTTGTATAACTATAATGATCATATAAACGTGTGCCTCGGAAATAATTGTTTACATTAATCGTGACCAAAACGTTTGAGACCCCTCGCTAGCACCAGAAGCTAACAACAACGATCTCCGGCACCGGTGCGCTCTCTCTCTCTCGTGCACGTACACAAAATGGCTCGTTCCACACACACACACACAGAGCCGAGCTTGAATGAAACGCAGAGACCCAGACGTACTTGTACTGTACTGTATCATATTATTTTCGAAACCATTTTTCCTCCTGGTCTCTCGCACCCCCCCCTGTCATGCCTCTGCGCCCCCCACTTTGAGAAACACTGCAGTAGAGGCACAAAATACAAATATGAACCTAAAAACTATAATAGGCCGCCAGGCAACAACATTTTTCTTCATGCCCTGGTAAATTTTTAGGATTTTGGGTGATGTTGCTGACTGAACTTCTTTTAGTTGAGTGGAAAGAAAACATCCAGAATTCACACTCTTTGCATCCTTAGATTTCTACATTGATTTCCCCAAATATTACACTAAGTTAACATTAGATAATGCCTCATATGCACATTTAAACATTTCAGAAAATGTGCAATTTAAAATATGAATGTATAATGTCAGTAATCAATGGGGGAAGTTTGGTGGTTATATCTGTTGTACCATATTCCCTTATAGAGTCATGCAAAATGTAAGGAATTTTACAAATGATGTATCTTTAGAGGCCGTTTATCAGAATTTGTATTTTCTCATAATCGTAGCCAGAAAGATCCATTTACTTTCACACACCACACTTGACAGTTTCATTGCTATCTATAGTTTTCACAGAGGGGTTTGTTTATATATCATAGCCTGATTTATATGAAGTTTCAGTGGGGAAAATTGTTTTATTACAACGGTTGTAAGTATTTTCTGATTTAATTGTGTAATAAAAACATCTATACAACTATAAAACCTTGCTTAATTCACAATTCAGATTTCTGTTCTTGAATTGTATGCTTTAGCACATATTTAATCATTTAATACCTAACGTTTCATGTATCTGTTTTTTAAAATGTTACCCTAACCCCTGTAGTGTCTCCCCTGCAGGAAACTCAAATTGCATCTTTCACACTACAACAATGGAAATCTAGTCTTGTCAGACTGACAGCATATTCCCTTGTTGCCTTAGAGTAGTATATATTGATAAGCCATAAACCGTGTTAATGTCACCAAGCTTACTTGCAGGTAGAGAAACAACTTTGTTTGTGTGAACAATGCTGTTGCTGCTGGACCATATTTAGTCACTGGGGCTCGGGGTGCTCGTCTGCACTAGACTTTCTAAGTTACACAGACCCCACTGTCCTTATATGGCACACACTGCACCCTCTCTGTTCAGTGTATCTGCTACTTTGTCTCCCTCCTCCTCCTCCTCCTCCTCCTCCTCCTCTCCTCCTCCTCCTCCTCCTCCTCTCCTCCTCCTCCTCCTCCTCCTCCTCCTCCTCCTCTCGCTCTTCATCCCTCCCCTGCCTTGTATCTCACCCTGTCCCTCCCTGAGTCTTTCCACCCTTGTTTTCCCTCCTTAACGCCATCCCGCCTCCTTGATGTTGACCAGAGAGGGAGCCCTGAGGTCCTCCATGCTGCTTCTTTGGTGTGTCATTAGGTTTCTCACACACACACACACCAGCACAGTGCTGTATGTCTCTGGAAAAAAACAGACCCCGGGCTATCCAACCAGCAGCTTGATTTATTGGAGCAAATAGATTGGTGTCCTTATATAGGAAGTTCCATTGGGAAGAAGCTGCAACAGGAGGGATGCGGGGGGGGGGGGGGGGGCTGTTTGTGATAGTGGAATGCGAAGTGCATGACGTTGGAAGTTATATGTTGGTTGTGCACACACGGTCATCTTGTAAAATATGAGCTATGTTCAGGGGGGAATCTCTCTGGAGCGTTTTCAGTAAAGGGTGATTCCTGTGCTGGGGACAGTTTGCCTTATGAGGAGTGGGAGCAGATTGCATAATCTATCAACAATACAGGGTGTGGAAGTGGAGTTCACAGCCACTGGGTTCTAGTTGTTGTGTGTCAGTCATATACAAGTGTTTCCTTTTTTTGAGAAATGTCTCATCTCTAAGGAGAAAATACTAATTACTAAAGTATGTCACAGTAAATGCACAGGTGTAAATAATAACACTAACGACGGCTGAAGTCCTCTTTGTCATCAAACATGGACCTCATTGTTAGTGTTATAAGTAACACCTGCTCTATACATTTTTTACCAACATTACAAGTAAAAGTCCTAGTCCTATTTTATATTATTAGGATATGTTATATTTTTGATGTTTTTTACTGATGCATTCACACGTGAGTAGCTAATGTAATTGTTTCCGTTTATTATAGCCTTTGTCAAATCTCAATCTGGAAATAAGTATCTAAAGCTCTAGCAGATAAATGTATTGGATTTAAAGTATGACGTTTGCTAGCCTGACGTGAAAAAAATAAATGCTAATAGGCTACTTAACAAAACCGCAATGAAAAATGTAAAGTATTTGTGCCAGAGCTAGTCAACAGCAGTGATAATATATAAGTTACTTAGTTTACCTTTTAATTATATCGATTGATTTTGTATTTTCATTTCATGAGCAGTTTTCTCTTCATTCACAACATACCTTCCTCTGCATATCTGCACATGCATGTCTGCAGTGCGCATGTCTTTGCCTCCTGCCCTGCTCGCGGATGCTGCCTGCTGTAAGATGATGGAGGAGGAGGTCCAGCTCGTGCAGCTCCACCCTCGTAAAACAGTGCGCTGTTTAAATGGTACGACTCTGAATTTGACGGGGGTCATTTGGACAGTTCGTTTTTGGAGTACCTCGTCGACGCCGGCCGCTCCAGACCCTAACTTTCCAAACCCAAAGCTCCCCTCAACACACATTTCTTCACTCATGTAAGTATACGTTTGTGTCGCGTGTCGTTCAATGAGCAGTGATGCTGCAGTGCACACTTGTCAAACCTCATCCCTCTCACACCTTTTTAACTTTAACGTTGTTTAAGAAAGATGCATTCGTTCCAGGTGTTTTCCTGTATGTGTCGAAATGATAAATTAGTACATTGAACATTGCTGGAACACTTCATTTTCTTGTCACTTAATGTTCCAATACTGATATCAACAGTTGTATGAAGTAACTAAGTACATTTACTTAAGTACATTTTTTACAATTATTACTTTTACTTAAGTATAATATTCGAGTACTTCCTCCACCACTGGGTATTACTATTTGAAAAATGTTAGCTTAGCTCACGAGTTTACATTGTTGACAGCTGTCCTATAGCAATTTACTTCACTTATTTTGTGTCACTTGTTGAGAAAAGTGAGACCTTTAGTCAGGAGCTCATGTTTGCAGTAGGCTACATTATGCAATGAGACTAATACATGTCATTCAAACAGCTGCATTTCTATATTTATAAGTGTGAAGGTGAACTAGGTTAAAAAACGGTGGTCCATTATGCTGCACCACTGCAGTAGGAGGGGACTCTAACCATGGAGTTTCCTGTTTTCCAAATATGGTTGTTTAAAGTCGCCTGTCTGTCATACTGCTGAAACGGTTGTGGCTGAAAATGCATACACTGTAATGAGAGCTGACAGTTTTCACACAACCCCAATGAAACCTATCAGTGGTGGTTTTGAAAGTGTATTAAACCTTTCCTTACCGTGTGATTTCATTTAATGCCAGTTAGTTAGAAAGTTAGTGAGCTCTCTACATCATTTTGTACATTAATGAGTTGTTTGGTGACATCCACATAAACATACCTTTGTCAGTCTAATATTAAATGTTCATCAGCTAAAAGCGACACGAGCATTAGCCTAATTTGACTTCATTACAATGTCTTCTTCCTAGAAAGCAGACTAGGATTCCTCCCCAGGTCATGATGGTTCAGGCTCAAAGTGTCATAAAATGGCAAGACAATGAATGCTTGTACTGTCACCTGTGACTTGTTGTTTTTAACATCAATGCATCAAACAAAGAGAAAGAAGTTATGTGTTTAAGCGTTATTTGGTTTCCATATTTCAATTTAAATAGACTGTCACTGACATACGCCTACATGAGGAGGTTTTCTCTAATGGGACAAACCAAGTGTCAGCCGTCTATTTCAGTCTTTATGATTGATTATGTTTATGCTGTAATACTAATCATCAAACAAATGCATTATTAGGAAGATGATAACAGGAAGAATGCTTGTGAAATAGCCAAGAGAGGAAATGAGTGAAATCATTCACAGGCCCTGCAGGTCAACGTCTTTCACCCAAATAGAAAGAGGTCTCCTGGGTGACATTTCCACTTGTTTATTATCATTTTACGACAGATTCTAAAATAAAGTCATTTTTATTGGACACGGCGTAGATTTGTATACATCTTCTCTTCTCAGCCTTGGTGTGATGTTTTCGAGAATCGTGGCCAACAATAATAGTTGAGGATTTGATGATCTTAACAGTAAGGTGATACTGCTATGAGTTGATAGTTTGCAGTGATCTAAGCAGGTCAGTGAGATTGCGTGCTAATAAGGGTTTTTAACTTTTTTCAGTCATTCATTGTAAGAATGTGAACACATTAGTTATTAAAGCGGCATGGTAAATAATGCCACAAAGTGCTGACAAACAGAGCCTAGTGACGTTCTTATCCTCTTTTACATTTCCCCTCAGCCTATATCACCTTGTTATCTTGTGACCCCACTCCAGAAAGCTGTCTTCAATATGCACTGGCTGAGTATTAAGCTCTGTTAACACAACAGAGAGAGAGATGAACAAGCTTTACAAAGACATCAACCCTCAGTGGTGAGGAGAGTTAAAGGGGTCGAGGAGGAGGGTCTTGATTGTCTGCACATACTTTATCGCAGGGGGGAGTGTCAGGAAAAGTGCGTTTACTTTATCTGGAGACATAGCTGATCATCAAAGCATCAGCTGGGCCCTTCCTTGATGCCTCAGAAGTTTGCACAGTTCACTGGACTTATCCGCCGGCTCTGTAGTTTTTGACAAATATGAAGTGTCGGCCTGTTAATATTCACGCAATACATTTCAGTAGTTTCTGGGTAGTTTGGTTTGGCTGCTCCCTGGGGGTTGGCTGATCCCTGGGAAACATGCACAGGCTTTCTCAGGAGGCACTTGGCTTTTTTACATAGTTCCCACTCAATTAAAGTTTATGCCAGTGTCAGTGTACAGAGGGGTGGAAAGGGTGGTAACAACCTGTAGACAGGAGTGACTCATAGTCTGTAATCCAGGAAACACTTAATTCCCTGCTTAGTAGTGGGAGAAACATCCAATTCAATCATAATATTGATCAAATGTAGGATTTCACCAGACAAACTTTGTATTGTTGCACATTAAGACATAAAGTGCAAAAAATGTGACATTTAAAAATAATTGCTACCATGCTTTATGTTTTGCTTATATTTTACTGTAGTTGGGTTCACGTACATTTCTGCACCTTTGCAGGTATTACTCCCAGACATGGCTGAGTCCCAGACACTTGTTCATAGTTTACACTGCCTGTAGCATTGCAAAATGAATGCCACTGGCGTCCCATATGAAGCATGATAGTTAAAGCCCCGGGCCCCCCTCGGGCTCTCCGCCTCGCTGTTATCATTTTCAAGTAAACGACGAGGCCAGCAAGAGACATACTATTCCCTATATGGGCTTTGTTTGGGAGTTCACTTGCCTTGCTGTTTAGGTCCGCAGAAAAAGAGTCGTGCTCCAGAGAAGGGGCCCATATATGGTCATCACAGCACGAGACTGAAGCCTCCAGGCAGAGAGACAGGGGGAGAGAGAGAGATGGAGGGGGAAGACATGGAAAACATGGATGTTGTCAATTAGGCACTGACTTGTAATTGAGTACGAGTAAATGCCAGTGAGTGTTTACGGTTTAAGGATATTTCTGTTAACAAAATGTACTTCTCTTTGTTACTGAGTTAATCCAAATCAACTTCCCACACTTCATCTTTCTATCTAAATTAGGGAGCTGAATTGTTTATCCGTCTCCCTTGTGGCATATGTGAAAGTGTAGGCTTGAGAGGGGGTGTGAGAATGACTGCAGTCTGGAAGTCCCCGATGGATGAAACATGTTAACCCTTTGAGTTACAATCACAGGCAGGAGGTGACTTTAGTAGCATTTGTAGCATACTAAGAGATCAAACTCATCGTGTTCAGTTAACCCTGTGCACAAACTGTTGTCTTTTTACTCCCAAAAAAGAAACGGACAACGAGCAGCAGAGATATAGTTAGCTAAGATGTGTTAGATACAGTTTGAGTTGTGCAGTGTTTCTCTAAAATACAGTCATCACAATTGATGCTTAACTGCAATAACAACCTTTTTTATAAAATGTTAACGCTCTGAATATAGCCTAATTTCTTGCCCCTTCATATCTTTTTCTTTCTTGCTTTGTCCCTTATTTCCTCTGTTGCTTCCTTCCTTCCGTTTCAGCTCCCTTCGGTCCTTGCTTCCTTAACTGTTTGCTCTTTTCTAACATCTAATCTTTGGTTCCTCCAACAGTTGGCCCTCCAACTCAATCCAAGATGTCCAAGAAGGCCCCGTCCGATGATGAGAAGTTCCTCTTTGTGGACAAAGACTTCCTGAACAGCCCCATGGCTCAGGCTGACTGGTCCGCAAGGAAGCTGGTGTGGATCCCGTCTGAGAAGCATGGCTTCGAGGCGGCCAGTATCAAGGAGGAGCACGGCGACGAGGTGCTGGTGGTGCTGGCTGACAGTGCCAAGAAGCTGACGGTCAACAAGGACGACATCCAGAAGATGAACCCGCCCAAGTTCAGCAAGGTGGAGGACATGGCGGAGCTCACCTGCCTGAACGAAGCCTCCGTGTTGCACAACATCCGCGAGAGGTACTTCTCTGGACTTATTTACGTAAGTATACAGTAAAAACATCTTAATGCTCTTAATTTATATATTTATTGGGTATCTCTCTGACATTCCCTGAATTGGAACCTTATGTTGTAATCTTAATTATGACACAAAGTCTTTATCATTGCTTTCTGACCCTGACTTGTTGAAGTCTCCTGAATTATAGAAATACAACACGAACATACACGAGTCTCTACACACTAAATGTTCTCGCCCTCTTTTCTCTCAGACGTACTCCGGCCTGTTCTGCGTGGTGGTGAACCCCTATAAAATGCTGCCCATTTACTCAGAGAAGATCATCGACATGTACAAAGGGAAGAAACGACATGAAGTCCCCCCTCATATCTACGCCATCGCTGATAATGCCTACAGGAACATGATGCAAGGTACGATGTTCCCGAAGCTCCCATCTCTTTGGGAAATCCACTTATGCCATTTCCCTCTGATGGAGCAGCAATATCATTTACGTTCCATTCGTTTGCAGTTATTTTGTGTGTAATAGAGTTGTGTATGTTAAGAGTTGTCTATGGGTTGTTTTCTTTATGAGGGACTGGTAGCCTTCCTGGTATTAGCTACAACACCCAATAACTCATCAAATGTAAATGAATCAATGATAGGAAACTAGCTCATGAAAGGGTGGCATAAGAGCTATTGTTACTCATTGACAGTCTTCACACATAACTAAGCTGCTAGCCTCTTGTGTTTTCAAGTCATGTCTGTCAAATTGAAGTGTTTGCTGCTAGCTTTAAAGAGCTCGGTATCAGTGTGAGCTTGTGGTATCAGCTGTCAAATGTCTCACTTCTGTCTGAGTGATGGTGGCCGGCAGCATTTAGCTCTGTCATGTTGACAAAACCACAACGCTGTCAGGCTGATGGTTTCAAAAGCAGAACTGTGTTTATTATTTTGTACGGCATAAAATCAACTTTATAGTTCACAGCATCTGTCTGCTTTAATGAATTACAAAGAAGTTGGTAATGGAGTGTGACAAAAAGAATGATTCTATGGCCTATTTGAGAGTCAGTGTCGTCTTGTAGAGGTGACGATAGTGGCCCTGGCAGAGTGGTGCTCTCTGCTTACAGTAAATGGCTCTGGGATCAGTCCTTAGAGCAGCTGGTTTCCCAGAGAATCCGTTTCTTGTGCTTCCAGGGGGTCGTGCCCACTGGACTTCATGTTGACGTGAGGATGATCTCTCAGAGGAGTTGACATCTGGATGGGGAGATGGGTGGAGGGCAGTAAAACATTTCCTGTTTCAGCAGCCTCCCCTTCCTCATTCATTTAAATTCTACATCTTTTTTTCTCTTTCGGTCAGTGTGAATACAAACGTTTTTTTTCTTGCACGAGAAAGGAGAAATAAAAGTTCCTATAAATGGGTTTGAGAAATAGTTTGAGATTGTACTTTCTGCTTTGGTTTGATGAGTATTCCAATGAAACAGGATGTTTGGACAGGACTTACAGTTAAGTTAGGAAGTAATTGTTTAAAGCGCTCTGAAGAAAGTGGGGATTTTCCCAGATCCTCCAAAAACACACCATTTAATCTCTGCGGCTGCAAACGGAGAAACTGATACATCTGCCAAGTCACTCAGCTTATGATATGGAGGATTTGACCCATGAGAAGCATACACTTGATTTTTTAAATATACAATAACAATATAATTCATGATATAAAGACGGCTAAGTCTACCAAATTATAAATGTACATTCCCGGTTTGAGAAAAATGAATAATTCTGCACTAGTCATTGATCCAAAACATTGAAACACGTTGATGATACTTCCTGCACTGACTATAAGCATCAACCACAACACACTCAAGCTAAGCAATGCTTTATGGAAGCTTAAGGCCTCCCAGTACTTTAAGAATGCAACTGTCACTAATATGTGTTCACTGGAGGATTTTAAATTCCACGAGGCCGCGACACAGGAAATAATAGTTTTTACCAGTACAGCTATTGTGTGTAAACATGGCGTCAGAAGTAAACAAGAAGGAGGAGGATTTATCTGTGTTTGTAGGGGTGTTTGGATTATACTTCTTTAGCTCAACGCTGCAAAAGAAGCCACGCAGCTGCAAATTGCAGATTGTGGGAGAATCAGATGCTTGTCACCTCCCAAAACACTATGTGGAACACTCGTAAATAAAGAGTATGTTTTGATTTGCTGCATTTTTCAGACTAAACAAATCAGCTGTTTGCTTCAGCTAATGATATAGGAAGTGACAATTGATTGTTTAAGAGCATGGACCACACATTCAGTTTTCCCTTGGTTAATAACATGCAAAGGAAAAGATAGAGGCAAGCTTTAAAGGGAGGTCATAAACACAGAAGTTGAGACATCCTGAGGTCCTAGATGTGCTAAGTAACCCACATCTTGAATAAGAAATTAGCTGGTCAATTGAATTTGCTGTTCCTATGTTATGATCATTCTCCCTTGGAATCTAAGTTTTTAATCCTAAAAATGTTTTTCCAACGGACAAGCTTGCCTTTAAGTCTTGCATAATGTAGAATAACTTTTATCCAAGAGCTTTAAGATTCAGGATGGTCTTAATATAAATCCTTCGGATAAGCCTTTGCACACAAGAGTCTTCGTTCAACTACCACAAGGTTAAGACTACATCTGCACATTTATTAGCCTCTTTGAGCCTTTATTTAAATAACACTGCAGCTGGCATGGAGTTGTTAGTGCTGATGCATTAGTGGGGTTTCCCATGAACTAGCACCTAATGAAGCAGGATGTCTACACTGAGTGCTATGGTGTGAACAGTTCACATGTAGGAATGGAAGTGGTGCAGAACAGCAAAACCCAGATAACTCGCTTAAGCTTTGAGAAATTCTTCCTGCTGCAATCTGGGCAGAGATCCCATATTTCCAAAATTGTGCCTCAGTCTTTGATGTCCGCAAGATACAAATGTGAAATTCCCTCAGGGAGTTTGGCTGTTTAAAGTCTCACTGCTGTTCCTCTCGACTCCCACTGTGTTTGGCAGTGGTGGAACAAGTATTCAGATTCTTCAGTAAAAGTAATTTCAAGAAAAAGTAGTGCATCAAAAATGGTACTTAAAATGAAAATACTACATTACTACAATTATAAGGTAAAGTAAATCTACTCGGTTACTTTCATCCACTGGTGTCTGCGGTACAGAGACATTGATGATACCCTTTAATCAGATTTTGAGTTTTAACCTGTAAAGATCAGTGTCACAAAAATATCCTTAATATTTTTTTAAGTTTCTCTTTTCTAGGGAGTCTTTTGCCCGAGACTTAGTGTTGTTTCTGGATGTTTTAGAAAAGCTTACGACTCTGGCCACATCCCTCTCCCTCCATCTGCCTTAATTAGGCAGTACGGAGAGGCTGCATTATGTGTGTGTATGTAAGGAATGGAACCAGTGGAACGGCCGCCAAAAAAACGATTCCAAACGGAGAAACAGCATCCGTGCTAGTTTACAGTTTAGGGCCGTCTGCACACTGTAACACAGAGCGATTAATCACAGTACGAAAATCACGATTCCTCGCACGAATGATGCTCTTCACTCTATGAAGATGAAGAATCATAGCTTTGTGTCTTTTCCAGGAGTCATTTACTAAGAGGTTTCATGTCAAACGCTAACAGCAAAGTTATCTTTTCTCACAGCAGTACTCCCTGTACTCCCCCAGGAGGGGTATACGTTGGAGGATACAGTTACAAAAAAGCCTTACATGGACTCACAGTATTATCCTTGGAGTATTTTGGGATGACGCACTACAAAGCACATTTAAGGGTTGATTTTCATGGTTAAAAATCTAAGTATTTGTGGGAGTGACATGTTTGTTTAGGCACAGTGGACTAGAGCCTGCGTAAATCACTCAGCCTCCTGTGTGCACTGAATGCACTGAATGCACTGAATGCACTGAATGCACTGAATGCACTGAATGCACTGAACCGACTCCCAGCTGGTGTCTTAAATGTAACCCTAGACTGATCTTTATTCCTGGAGAAGGGCTTGTGGTTTCACATGTGGTATGTACAGTAGTGTACTTAGCTATTGTGCATGACTGTACACCTCCAGCCAAACATAGAGGAAGAATAAAATAAAGTCAAAGCTCTTGTAATGCATCATAAAAAAGTAGATATTTGCACTTTGTTTTTGCAGATACCTTTGGTTTAGCACGTCTTTTCTATACTGTGTATTTTAGACTGGGCTGTCTAACACTGTGAACTTTCTCTGTGTCTTCAGATCGAGAGGACCAGTCCATTCTCTGCACGTGAGTCAAAATCTTTCTCTTCTGTCGCCTTTCCTTAATCTTTTTCCTAGACGTCACATAGATGCTAGAAGGAAAGCTGTGTGTACGTGAAGAGCAGTTACATAATGCTGTTGTAGACACAGTTGAACAAATTAGATACCTGACTCGTCTCTCAGCACCCAGCCCACTTATCAAGAAATCATTCATAATATAGCAGTTGATATTTTAGAAGATGATGACAGTTGCATGCAGAATGCTTTTAGATAATGTTGCAGCATGTTGTATTTAAATGGAGCCGTACTGGATGAGCCTGAATCTGTCCCAGAGGGCTGTGGCCTTGCTCTCCTCTCAGAGCCCCGGTCAGGAATGTGCCCTGCGTCCTGATGGGAGAAGCAGATAAGCTCTGCGAATGTTTTGGCTCCATTTTGTTTGTTTATTTTCATCAAGGTAATTATTGAGAACTTTGACATCTATCTTACATCCAGAGACTTCTTTTTGTCTGGCTTGATATTTGGAGTGAGCTGAACTTTACTTTAATTCATAGAAATGAAATTAATATGTGCTTCCTTTCCCCATTTAAGTGTCTTTATGTGGGCTTAGGTCATCATTTGACATTTATTTCCTACTGTTTCTAGGAACTGTTGGCCCTTAGGTCGACCTCCACAAACTAACTTTCCACTCTCACATTCTCTACATCCCATCTATTTGTATCTCTGTCTACACACACTAAAGACATGCTGCATTCTTACCTCATCAGAAGGATAACTTCGTAATTTATGCAATAAGTCAAATAAGTAGAGGCGGTGCACCCTAAATGGACCAACAGTGTTTTATTGTCATACTAATTGACGGGTTAATGTACAGTAATATATATCGCAGTATATTCCCGAACTAGTTCTGACTCAACAGTAGCATTTTGCTGCTCAGCATCCCACATTCCCAGTTAAGGAAATGAAAAGGCTCTTTGCCCTAAAGGCTTTTTTATCATCTACATTTACAGATGCCAGGATGCTGCACATTCTTTCATTTGATCGGACCATTTCCTCGACAACCAAGCTTTCTTTGCTAGCATTTATCCCTGTCTGTGTGCGGGAACATTTGTTTACAGTTCTGGTGAACATGAAGATAACTGTTGGATGCTAACGATAGATATGTTTTGTTTTGTTTATTTGCCTGTACAGCACTTTGGTCTGGAGGTTTAAAGTGCTATATAAATAAAGCTGTATTGTATTGTATTGTAAACATACACACAACCCTTTTTAAGGTGATAAGCTTCCAAGGAATATGATTCAAGAGAAGTTCAAAACAAACTCTGTATTTCAGTTTGAGCTTCAGTTGGTGGCTGGCCTCTGCAGCCTTATATGGGAGAAATGTTACTGGTGCGATACATGGATTGTCACGTGTGACATGCTCCTCCTGCGTGTGTGTTTACACATGTGTTTAATTGCCCTGTATGTTCTTTGGCGGTATTGTTATTACTGCAATCCATCGTGTAGAAGATTTGTTAATATGTTGTCATGGGAGACTTATGTAACTATAATTGTATGGATTTCCTGTATCCTGTAAATTGCTTTGGTATAGACAGATCCAACCAGATAAAGATAATCAGAAAAGCAATGTGGCAAGGCATCAGTTAACATGGTACAACATTGGTAAGATTTCCAGGTGAATTAAGGATTGTTTCAGCAACGTCATAACTACTGAAATACACTTTTTTAACAACTCCCTCTTTTCCAAGAAGGTAGTAAACTTTGTGCACTAACTTTGACAATGTGTGTTCAGGTCATTCAAGGAGTGTTTGTATTTCTTCAAATACCTCCACACAGTAGCAATAATTTGTCATAGGAAATAGCAGGGACTGCTAAATCCATGTTGACATTTCATCTCAGCAGGGTCACTAGTTTCCTCGGTCCAATATTCATTGTGTGTGTGTGAAACTCGGACGGAGGGAATAGAATAGTGGCGGTAAAGTGGCAGGATGTTGCCTGGTCTGACCCTGCTGAGGGCGTTAATGCATCACATGTATACATTGAGGGCTCCCTTTTATTTGTCCAGAGTGTAGGGGTTTCCCTTTTTCAGAGAGGATAAGTGTTTGAGTCGTATACAACTGCTGTTTCTCAACCTTGCGTGTACAAAAGATATTGAACCATGCATATTGTCTCAAAATACAGTATATATATTCTAAGCAGTCTGTCGTCGATCAAATAACAAAATAGAAACACAGTAAAGCACAGACACAGATTGAAGTTAAAATATGATATTGTTGTACAACAGTATAAGAGACAGATTACCCTTGCATCAAATGAGCAGAGAACATGTCTACAGAAGGAGAGAATCTTACAGTGTTTATACACCTTTTGAACATGTGTGGAACTACACCATTGGATCTGTACAATCATGTTTCACAATACTGTACCTTTTGACATGGTGTTATCAAACACATGACCATGCAGAAAACACAGACTGCATAGGGAGACTTTGTGTACCATTAGTACAGGTGGCCCCTTGTCAGAAAACGAAATGATTAACTCATGGCATGACTTACAGCACTTTATTAGATGTCCATGATTCCCCAAGTCTTAAAACATTCAATCATTTACAAGAAGAAAAGCAGAGATATACAAAACCATAATAAAACACATCAGAATATTAGCAATATGGTACCTCTGGTAAAATATGATACTATGGTAATCTATTTAATCCTTTTAAATCATCCTGTTAAGGTCAGGGACAGTAGTGCTGATGGTAAGAAGGACGTGCAGAAAGGGACAGTTTAATAGCCCATCTGAAGCAGCACTCTCCTGCAGTAGGAGCCTGGACGTCACCAAACGTGATCAGGACAGAGTCCTTAGATTCCTCTCGGGGCTGCCAAACCCCAACAGGGAGCATCCCATACCTTTTATGGACCCCTGTCTGAGGGACTGGTGGCTCTGGTATCATTCAACTTTGTCTTTCTAAGTATCCATGAACCTTTTCTGGAAAGAATGTGTTCTAGCTTCTGTTTGAAATGTTTGTTTTATTCAATGTCTTTTAAAAGTCAGTATAACTTTTACTTTTAGGATTGTAGCTTCATTGAGGGTATCTGCCACTTAACTCCTAATAATTCTGTAAATGTCATATGTTTCTCCCAGCTATATACTCACTGATTGTATTGAAGTGTTATGGCATTATTGCTGTGATTCTAACCGGGATCAATACAAAAAAGAAAATGTATACACTTTCACCTACTTGCAGATAGTTCGATTTGAAGAGCATCCTGTTAGCTTAGCTTAGCATACAGACTGGAACCTTAGACTGGTGCAAACAAATGTGTTGCACTTCATATACACTTCCCCCAACCAACCTTTTTTGCCCATATCTACTCTGTTGTCTATCAAATATAGGAAGGAATGCCAAAATATCTTGTTTAAAAAAAATACTTATTCTCCTTGTTTTAAACTATTCAATTTGATCTCTAAAATAAGTGTGGAGTATTAATTTAAATTCATGTGTGGATTATTATGTGCGTAGTGCCAGGCCTACTGAACAATAACATTTTGCTTTGAGTCAGACATTTGGACAGCCTTTTTCCTTCAATTAAACTGGGTTATTGAAGTGTGAACAGAGCACCTGTCAGTGCTGCTTATCTTCTTGTTCTCTCTCTCTATCTCCCCTCGGCATCTTTTAATCCCCTCCTCACTTTTTCCTCTCTAGTGGAGAGTCCGGTGCCGGAAAGACGGAGAACACCAAGAAGGTCATCCAGTATCTGGCTCTTGTGGCCTCCTCACATAAAGGCAAGAAGGACAGCAGCGCTGTAAGTATCCGTGTGAAGATCATGTTGTTTCAAAGTGGATCTGTCAGCCAGTTCCCTCACTCTTCAACATGTGTAGCAAACATCCCAGTTTAATCCTGTACATTGCAATTTCTCCAAATAGCAACAATCAGGAGTACAGTTTGCCTACGTGAGTAAAAGGGAATCCCCGGAGTGTGGTTTTGGTGTGTAGTGTTTGTGTGTGCCTTCGATTAGAAACGTGCATGAAGGAATTGTCACTGAGTTACCCCCCTCATAAAAAATCTGTTGGACGGTGTTTACCCTAATATTGTCATTTCTGTATCTTTACCCAACAAGACTTGATTTACATTGCATGACCATCATAGTACTGACTCGCGGTCACTTTTCAAACCTACCTAAGTGTTCAGTGGAGGACGTGTCTAGTTTAACACACCTGAACTTTATCGTGTTTGAGTTTGTGTCATACATTTTTCTTACGAACACCCTTTCACTGCCAGTGGAGGTGATAGTAGCCTCCCCGGCAGTGACAGGGTCTCTCACAGATCAACGAGCACAGTGTGAGCATGTCCTGTCTTATCTATTAAAACACCGACTCCCCCCCGCACCTTCCTCTCTGACCTCCGCCCTCCTCCTCGTCCTCTCACCTGCCATCTGACTTTGCCAGCACTTCAGTCAGGATGAGTAAGATGGCGTCCCCAATAGACGTTGATGGTTTGTGGCGTTGCTCTGGTGTAGGTGTAGGTATTGGAAGTATAACTGTGTGGGTCCAAGCAATGCCCTCCGTCGCTATTGACCCCATCGAGCTTCAGGGTCAACTTCCCCAGACCTTACGCAATCCTCAGTAAGACCTCAAGGCTCCCATGGACCCCCGACCAACCAGAACAAAAATCGGTCTCTTCACTTTCTTTTTCCTCATGCACTATTTTGACTCATCAACTTGCTCATTAGCTATCTGCTCGAGCGTTTTATTTAACCAGCGTCTGAAAGACAATCGTTCTCAACAGCTCTCTTTTGCTTTCTTGCCGTTTGCTTGCTCTATTTCTTCTTTTTTCTCCCTTTCTTTCCCCCAGTGACTTTATTGAACAAGACCCTCCTCTTCTGTTCTGCCAACTCTGAACTGCTCTCTTCAGCTGGTCTGTATCTCTCTTGTTTTCCTTACATAAAAAAAAATAATGTACCACTCTGAGTAAGAACTCAAAAAACCAGATTGATGAGGAGTGAAACATGTCTAAATATGTCCATCACTAATCAAAGCTCTAATCACTGTTGCCATCTTCATCACAATATTAACCCAAGTCATGCCCCTCTCCTCTTTATGGCGTTAGCTCGTTTACATGGTAGCAGAAGGAGTGTTTTAAGGCAGGAGGTAGAAATCTACAGCGCCTGACCTTGGTGTTAGTCAGACGAGACCACTTTGATCAGGTGGATTAGCTGGATGCACAGAGACGGGGTTGTCTGCCTCATTTACACAGCTGCTGCTCCACCCACCAGTCCGCCCGGCCTGCAGTCACGCTGAAAGAAAATCTCATCCAGAAGGCTGCTTGTGAATCAGAATCATTTGAAATGTCTCACACATGAGTGGAAGTACTTTAGCAGGATTTATCAAAGGTTTTGTAATGTTAACATTATCCAGATTCCTCATCTGACCAGAAGAGACGTCACTCCTCGGCCTTACTCTCTGTTTTCCCATCAACAGCAGATCTCATTTTTAACACTCTCCCGCACTGATGGACAAGCCATATGTCTGTGTTACATAACATACTGAAGAGTATCAAAGAAAGTCCGTAAAGGAATATATTATAATGGGGCTACTAAAGGATTTACCTGTTGGTAATATTTCTGATCAGTTGAGGTTGAGTTTATTTTTTCATCTTGTCGCTCACACATCAGTGATAATACTGATAAACTTTCCCTGACCCATGTCCACCATTAACGACTTCACTCATCACCACCTACTGCACACCCACCTCCAGTAAACAGATCAGTGTATAATATTGATGTTTCTGTTTGCCACTGTTGTCACCAGGGGGAGCTGGAAGAAGCAGCTCCTGCAGACCAATCCCATCCTGGAGGCCTTCGGAAATGCCAAGACCATCAAAAACGACAACTCATCCAGATTTGTGAGTTTTAAGATGTAGATGAATTTTGTCAAAAAGCAATTTTGATAATGACACTTTTTCTATCTGTAACATTTTCTCTCCGCGTCTCTCTCATAGGGTAAATTCATCCGTATCAATTTTGATGTGACCGGCTACATCGTTGGAGCCAATGTTGAGACTTGTATCCTGTCTGTTGGGGGGCTTTTTGCTCTTAAAACTCAAAAATGCACATTTACAAAGGAAATTCTATAGCCCTAAAAATGATATCTGATATTTGGTATCAAATCAATACCACTTTAATCCTGTTTTAGAATGTTCCTTTTTAGTAAACGTTTACTTTGCCCAATAAATTTTTTCACAATGCTTTCCAATCTTTGGGAAGTGTTTTTAAGATAATAGTATACTAGATTCAAACAGAATATTTGAATGTAAGAATCAAATCTTTAAACGCATAATGGAAATCATAGAGATGGAAGCAAATTAGGAAACAAAATGGCATTTGAACACATTCATAAAGGGGCTGAACCGAAGTGTCTTTGCTAATCTCTCCTCAGTGCATATATGTATTCTTTAACAGCTGAAACTCATCAGACCTGCTGGAGAAATCTCGCTGTATCAGACAAGCAAAGACAGAAAGAGCCTTTCACATCTTCTACTACATGATTGCCGGTGTCCAGGGGAACAGCGCGGTGAGGTTCAACCATAATGCGCCTTCTTTTCCATAATCTCAGTTATATTACTTGCTGCTGAACAGTTACTGTAGCTTAATTGAACATATGTTGTACATCAAATTCCCAGAAAGTTCATCAGTTAACCACAAGCTGTTTAACGTAGTGTCTTGTCTTTTCAGAGGAGCTTCTCCTGGAGCCTTTTAGTAACTACCCGCTTCCTGAGCGCTGGTCACGTTCAGCTCCCCCGGCCAGCAGGACGATGAGATGTACGAGGAGACCATGGAGGCCATGAGGATCATGGGCCTGACCGATGAAGAGAGACTCGGTATCTGAATGACTTGGATTAACTCTTGGAGAATGAATGATAGGTGTGGGTGCTAATGCTGTTTCTCTTTGATGCTAACTGTCTTTTCCCTGTGTTTCAGATATCCTGAAGGTGTGCTCCACCGTCATGCAGCTGGGAAACATTGAGTTCAAGAAAGAGAGGAACCAGGAGCAGGCCACCATGCCAGACAACACCGGTCAGACACCACAACTTCTCACTATTAAAAACTTGATACCATAATTCGTAACTACGTGTTAACATCAATCCTACCAATTTCACAATATTCACATCACTTATAATTTGCTTCTTTCCTGACATTAATCATTTTCAGTCTTCCAAAATAGATATCTAGAAAGATAACAAAATATACAACCAATCCACTTCTTTTTGAAGACACTAAAACTTTTAAACAATACATTTTTATATTCACCTCAACTTACTTTGTACTACAGCGGTACATGTAGAATTTTTTTTTAAAGCATCTTGGTGTAATTGTTCTCCCTCTAGTGGCCCAGAAGGTGTGTCACCTGCAGGGTATCAATGTGACAGACTTCACTCCGGGGCAATCCTCACCCCTCGCATCAAGTGGGCAGAGATGGTGGTGCAGAAGGCCCAAACCAAAGAGCAGGTACTTAACCGTGGTACACCATAAAAACATTAAAACAGATACTGCGCATAATAAAAACTTCCCAAACTCGACATCTGAGATGAAGTCAACTTCGACACTGTGATCTCTCACCTGATATTATCTGTGTGTGTGTTTGTTAGGCCGACTTTGCTATTGAAGCTCTGGCTAAAGCCGTGTTTGAGCGGCTCTTCCGCTGGATCCTGGGCAAAGTCAACAGGGGCGCTGGACAAAACCAAACGCCAGGGGGCCTCCTTCCTGGGAATCCTCGACATCGCCGGCTTTGAGATCTTTGAGGTGTGTACAGTCAACAAGCTGTTGTGTAGCTTGCTAAACACACACAAACATTTTTTATTTATAATATACATCTTCACATCTGTTTTTTGTTTTTTACAGGACAACTCATTTGAACAGCTGTGCATCAATTACACCAACGAGAAGCTGCAGCAGCTCTTCAACCACACCATGTTCGTGCTGGAGCAGGAGGAGTACCAGAGGGAGGGCATCGAGTGGAGCTTCATCGACTTTGGCCTGGACCTGCAGCCCTGCATCGAGCTCATCGAGAGGCCGGTGAGTGGCTTTGAGATGATAAAAGAAGCAAGGGCAAACCAAGGATCATTTCCTGCGAGAGCAGATACTTTATGGTTTGATTTGTTTGTCATCAAAAATGATGTCATATAACTAATCACAGCATATTCTCTTCAGAACAACCCTCCAGGCGTCCTGGCCCGCTGGACGAAGAGTGCTGGTTCCCCAAAGCTACAGATGTCTCCTTTGTGGAGAAACTCATGAACACACAAGGGAACCATATCAAATTTGCCAAAACTAAACAGCTCAAGAGCAAGAGGTTTTCTCTGTTCCATTATGCTGGGAGGGTGAGTACAAGGGGATGTGTACAATATGATTCAATTGGAGTCATTTCAATGAAATCTCAAATAACATTGATATTGTTTTGATTTTTAGGTGGACTATAACGCCACCGCCTGGCTGACCAAGAACATGGACCCTCTGAATGACAACGTCACATCGCTGCTCAACAACTCCTCCAGCCAGTTTGTGCAAGACCTCTGGAAAGATGGTAAGATGTACTGGTTTTAGCCAAACACCGCCTTAGTTAACAAACAGAAGAATTCAAGTGTTTAATAATTGGACCACAGGTACTCTGAAATGTTGATGTGGGTTGCTCTGAAGCCTCTCAAGCTGTATCACTGCTACTAGTTTGCTTAACAATATATAGAGAAACAATGAGACCTGGTAGCTTTACATTACTTGAGAATCATCCTTTTTCCAGTAATAACAAACAATACATACGTTTCAAAGTCCCGACATTCAAATGAATGGAGTAGAGATAAGGCAATTACTGCACATATTTCCATCTGGATTCTCTCAGTTCCCTCCAAACAAAACATTGTGTCTTTCAGATTATTTTGAAACAAACTGTGCATATATGTGAATGAATTACACTAGAAACCAAACAAATCCAGCACAGTTCAACCATTTAAACCAGTAAACACACATTTTTCCTATTAACATAAGTATGTCTGTTTCAGCGGACAGAGTGGTAGGTCTCGACACCATAGCCAAGATGTCAGACAGCTCTATGCAGAGCGGCTCAAAGACCAAGAAGGGAATGTTCCGCACGGTGGGACAGCTCTACAAGGAGTCTCTGGCCAAACTCATGACCACACTGCACAACACCCAGCCCAACTTCGTGAGGTGCATCATCCCCAACCACGAGAAGAAGGTAAAGCAAAGTGCATCGACGATAAACGTGCTGTATTTTTTACATAGTGAGGAAAAAATCAGGGGATCTACTAGCTTGTTTTCCCAGACATCATTTCACAGGAGGGCAACTGCACAACCATACTAATAGTTGTGTTTCTTTACATCTATATTGTATATTCCTTAAACTGTAACATGTATTATATAACATAGGAAAACAAATATACACATGATGCAGTATCCATTTAGTATTGAGTGTTAACCCAAAGTACTAAGTTTAGAATCTCATTCTCCTCAGGCCGGCAAGCTGGATGCGTTCCTGGTCCTGGAGCAGCTGCGGTGTAACGGCGTGTTGGAGGGGATCAGGATCTGCAGACAAGGATTCCCCAACAGAATTGTCTTCCAGGAGTTCCGCCAGCGGTTAGAAGATTTATTAACTTATAATGTGCTGCTAGACTTTGTAATATTCCAGCAAACTTGTCTTTCATTGCTAAGCATCTGTGTGTCTTTTCCTTGCTCATAGTTATGAGATCCTGGCTGCAAACGCTATCCCCAAAGGTTTCATGGACGGCAAACAGGCCTGCTGCCTGATGGTAAACACATACTTTTAAATCTACAAAATAATGTGTACCTCTGCCTCCTTTTGCTCACTGATCTTCTGTCTGTGTAGATCAAGCACCTGGACTTGGACCCCAACCTGTACAGGATCGGACAGAGTAAAATCTTCTTCCCCGCACAGGAGTGCTGGCCCAGCTGGAGGAGGAGAGAGACCTGAAGATCACCGTGGTCATCATCGCTTTCCAGTCGCAGGCTAGAGGCTTCCTCGCCAGAAAGTATGAATACACAGAACCCCCTTGCATACTTGACCACTGTGTTACAGTGTTCACAAGCTCAATTTATCTAATAACATCTTTTAGACTGTACTTTAGCCCTTTTTATTTACATTTGATTGAGGCTTTCCTTAAACGTTTGCAGTTTTTAACACAAAACAATTAGATACACATTGCTTTATGTAATACATGACACATTTCTTTCACTGTTTTATTTTTAAAGGGCATTTTCCAAGAGGCAACAGCAGCTCACAGCCATGAAGGTGATCCAGAGGAACTGCGCTGCCTACCTCAAACTCAGAAACTGGCAGTGGTGGAGGCTCTTCACAAAGGTCAGCTAGTTCTTCTGCATAGAAATAAAACAAAACTATTACATAGTTTTATTCTAAGATTACAACATATTTTAATGTAGCCATACAATCAATTCTTGTCTTGCCTTTATAGTATTTTAAATCTCTTACCATGCCTATCCTCCTGACCTGCAGGTCAAGCCTCTGCTGCAAGTGACCCGACAGGAAGAGGAGATGGGTCTGAAGGATGAAGAGCTGACGAAAGCCAAAGAAAGCACTATAAAGTTTGAATCGGAGCTGAAGGAGATCTCCCTGAAACACACATCGGTAAACGACTCAAACACATTTATAAACATAGTTTGTTTTGACTTGATGTCATATCCATTTAAATGTGCTTGAGGTACCAATTTCATGTTCCTTTTCACTATTTCATTGAGTGATTCAAAGACAATGAGAAGAAGCTTTGATTAAAAAGGAATCTACTGACATTGAAGCTGAGCTGAATTGTTTCTTGTCCGTGCGATCCAGGTTTTGGAGGAGAGGAACGCACTGCAGGAGCAGCTCCAAGCAGAGACAGAGCTGTACGCCGAGGCTGAGGAGATGAGGGTTCGTCTGGGAGCTAAGAAGCAGGAGTTGGAGGAGATCCTCCACGAGATGGAGGCCAGACTGGACGAAGAGGAAGAACGTGCTCAGGCTCTGTTAGTGGATAAGAAGAAAATGCAGCAGCAGATGCAGGTCTGCACATATGTGTTTTTTGTCTATATCTTATTGTTTCTTTGTAGCCGTTTTTAGATGAGACGCTTTATGATCAGCCACAGTTATGAAGCAGCAACTGAAGCTGCATTATTCATTTTTAGGAATTGGAAGAGCATTTGGAGGAGGAGGAAGATTGCCCGTCAGAAGCTGCAGCTTGAGAAGGTGACCTGTGAGGGGAAGGTCAAAAAGCTGGAGGATGACATTTTGGTGATGGAGGACCACAACAACAAGCTGCTGAAGGTGAGTGTGGAAACAACTCCTTATATTGGTCAAGCAATTATTAAGAGAGCTAATGTATCGACAGGAAAGAGTGGATTCAGTAACTATTCATTGTTTTGTAGGAGAGGAAGCTGATGGAGGAGAGGGTCGCAGACTTCAGTTCCAACCTGGCAGAGGAAGAGGAGAAGTCGAAGAACCTAACCAAGCTTAAAAACAAACACGAGTCCATGACTCTGAACTGGAGGGTAATGATCTGTTATGGATTGTCATCAGTGGTGTAGTGGTCGTTGGACGCGGGGATCGCCGTTCCCCCACTTATTTGGAGCCCCCCTTTTTTGAAGCATGATTTTTTAATAGTCTAATAAATATAAAACCATTGCCGGTGTTATCAGTTGCAAGTGTGTATTTGTTGTAATAAGGACGAAACATCATACATTTCACAGTAATTATAATTAAAAAATTAAAAATGTCCTTAAAAAAGTATGATTCGTCATCACGCTCGTGACACAACCAGCTCGCCGCCCGCCGCTTTTGCAGCAGCTCTGTGTGTGTGTGTGTTGTGAGCGCAGCGCCGTCTGCTTTTTGCAGTACAGTAACTAAAGTAGGACTAAGCATACCGCTAGTTTATGTAGACCTGTCTGCCCGGTTTGAGTGCACTGCGCACGTGCGCACTTGTGGCATTGTTTGGGATGACCTCATTAAAATAGCGTCCGCCCAGTAAAAAATCCCCACTATACCACTGATTGTCATGTATTAACATCCACAAAACTAATATTGGTGTCACAGTCAGAGACTTTATGCTAATGTTATCTCTCTGCTGTACTCATAGTCCGTTTGAAAAAGGAGGAGAAGGGTCGACAGGAGCTGGATAAGGCTAAGCGTAAGTTGGAAGCAGAGTCTAATGACATGCAAGAGCAGATAGCCGACCTGCAGGCCCAGATCGCTGACCTCAAAGCCCAGCTCGCAAAGAAGGAGGAGGAGTTACAGAACGCCTGTGCCAGGTAAAGGGACCTGAGGAGTAAAAAAACATTTACCATTTACATCTTTTAATACATTTCAAAGCCAAGTAACTCCATACATCTGAGGCAGAGCTGCACCTTCTTTATACCATGTATACTTGGAATACTTCTAAAGTTATAATGTATATCATGCTTACATATATCCTCATCGATGCAATCTTCCCCCCCCCCTCAGGTTAGAAGATGAGACAGCTCAGAAGAACAACGCTCTAAAGAATCAGAGAGCTGGAGGGACACATCTCCGACCTGCAGGAGGACCTGGACTCTGAGCGGGCGGCCAGGAACAAAGCAGAGAAGATCAAACGGGACCTCGGGAGGAGCTGGAGGCCCTCAAGTCCGAGCTCGAGGACACCTTGGACTTCCACTGCCACACAGCAGGAACTGAGGTCAGCCACACTCTTCTCACATATAAAGTGATATCATGTAACGTTCCTATACATTATGTAGTACTGCACTTTTCAACAAAACATTTTGAGGTACTTTATTTTTCTACTTCAGTACATTGAGAGGAAAGTATTGTACATTTAACTGCCCTACATTTATTGACAAAATGTTTTGTGATCAATTAATTCAGATTATTAATACAAAAATATAAATTATACCAAGAAAACAATATTGTACTATTAATGACATCCTATCTAGCAGTCAGTAAAGCAATTGATATGTGCCCCTTCTTTACCAGCTGCATCATTAGTGCTGCACATAATAATGTATCAATAATAATAAATCAGTGATAAAGTACACGAATAATCCTGACGTAGGCCATTCTGCATGATGATTACTTTTACTAGTGGTATATTTGAATCCTTCTGCATTTGTTGTTCTGAGAATGCATGTGTCCCATCAGGATGTGTTAGTATACATTTGTCATACTTGGAAAATAGACAAAAATGTGCGTGATGAAGCCATCCAGGGCCAGAATACGTGAGCAGAGGTGAACCTGCTTAAGAAGCCATTGACGACGAGAGACCGGACCCACGAGCCCAGGTTCAGGAGATGAGACAGAAACACACGCAGTTTGTGGAGGAGCTCACAGAGCAAGCTGGAGCAGTCCAAACGAGTAGGCCGCCAGCGTTTATACACAGTTGGAATCTCCTTGAAAAATCCCGACACATAGGATATTGATCTTGTATTTCCTCTCACCGCGCAGGTGAAGTTAAAACCTGGATAAGGCTAAACAAGCCTCTGGAGAAGGAGACGTCAGAATTGACCATAGAGGTGCGCTCACTCAACCAGGCCAACAAGACGGCGAGCACAAGAGGAAGAAGCTGGAGGGTCAGGTGACCGATCTGCAGACACGCTTCACCGACAGCGAGAAGCAGAAGGCGAGCTGGGAGAAGCGCTGCTCAAGATCACTGTGAGTTGACTCTCATAGCTACATCAGTACTTCACATTTGAAAATAATTGCATTTTTAAAAGCTGAAAATGCATCTTTGCCTTCATAACAGGTTTAGCTGGAGAGTGTGACAGTCATACTGAACGAAGCAGAGGGAAAGAACATCAAACTGAGCAAAGATGTTTCCAGCCTTACCTCACAGCTCCAAGACTCACAGGGTGGACCAGACTTAGCACGATTTATCAAACTTAAAAGATGTGTTATAATGCCAATACAATCTATGTCATCTTTGCCGTGACAATCAAAGACACAAAATATTTGCTTGCTGACAATCAGTCAGATCTGACCTTTGACCCGCTGTGCTGTTGCAGGAACTGCTGGCTGAAGAGACGCGTCAGAAGCTGCAGTTCTCTACAAAGCTGCGGCAAGCAGAGGACGACAAGAACAGTTTGCAGGAGCAGCTGGAGGAGGAGATGGAGGCCAAGAGGAACGTGGAGAGACACGTGTCCACCCTCAACATCCAGGTCAGAGCTCACACTAGAGAGTGTACAGGTTAATTTATCATATGGTAAATCATAAAGAAAATATCAGGGAGGAAAAAACAAGTAACACATCAAAAAGGGTTTCAATGATGTTTTACTGTATATGAGATGAACATGGGATGGAATAGTATAGACACTGTCTAAAATGTTCTTCTGTCAACAGTTGTCAGATTCAAAGAAGAAGCTCGACGAAATGACGGGAAACGTCGAGCTGCTGGAAGAAAATAAGAAGCGTCTGCAAAGAGATTTGGAGGCAGCGAACACGCAGTTTGAGGAGAAGGCCTCCGCGTACGACAAGTTGGAGAAGACCAAGAACCGTCTGCAGCAGGAGCTGGAGGACACGCTGATGGACCTGGACAACCAGAGGCAGAATGTGTCCAACCTGGAGAAGAAGCAGAAGAAGTTTGACCAGGTCAGTCAAATCTAAAAAGGGGGTAACACTAAGAGATAACAGTTAAAGGATTAGTATTTTCTACTGCATCTTGTTTTATTAAATGTTGCTTTTGTCTATTTTTTTATTGAGATTTCATATAAATTAAAGTGTTAATCAATGTTTTTCTCATATGTGGATCATACATTTCCCGTCCAATATTGATTTGTTTTATTATATTCCACCAGTGTTATATATTATTATTTTGTATTATTACTAGTATAATTATTATTCTTACTACTACTATTTTGTAATGTCTTCTTAAACAACCTTTTCTTAAGTTACTTATTCCTATTGCTCAAATGAATTTTTACTTTGAAAGAGTTGCCAAAATAAAATGGGGGTTAAATAATAAGACAAAAATAATTACACATTACAAACCTTATAATGCCTTTAATCACTATTACCAAAAACAGCTTGAGTATATATATTAGCAACATAACTTAAGCATTACTCCCTTAAACATTATCAATGGTTTGCTTTCTTCCTGGTCTCCAGATGCTGGCAGAGGAGAAGAGTATCTCCAGTAAATATGCAGATGAGAGAGACCATGCAGAAGCCGAGGCCAGAGAGAAGGAGACGAAGGCTCTTTCCCTGGCCAGAGCTCTGGATGAGGCCCAGGGTTCAAGAGAGGAGCTGGAGAGAGCCAACAAGTCCCTGAAGATGGAGATGGAGGACCTGATCAGCTCCAAGGACGATGTGGGAAAAAACGTTAGTGCTGGTTTCATTTTAAAAACATCACTGTGTTTGCTTCTGGACTAGTCTGACCAGTGGTTTGACTCATTTCTTTATGAAGCCAAAATACGGAAGTTCATTTAGCTTTCTGTTGATGGCAGGTCCACGAGCTGGAGAAGTCCAAGCGAGGCCTGGAGGGGCAGGTGGAGGAGATGAAGACCCAGCTGGAGGAGCTGGAGGACGAGCTGCAGGCGGCTGAGGACGCCAAGCTGCGTCTGGAGGTCAACATGCAGGCCCTGAAGGCCCAGTTCGACAGAGACCTGCTGGGACGAGATGAGATGGGAGAGGAGAAGAAGAGGCAGCTCATCAAGCAGGTAAAGAAGAAAAACAATGGTCGCCCTTCAAATGAAAGTATGTGTTCTGGTCCAGCATTGGTAATCTGAGCAATGCTGCTCTCTGCTGCAGGTCCGTGAGCTGGAGACAGAGTTGGAGGACGAGCGTAAACAGAGAACCCTGGCGACCGCAGCCAAGAAGAAGTTAGAGACGGACATGAAAGATATGGAGGGACAGGTCGAGGCGACCAGTAAGGGACGAGACGAGGCCATCAAGCAGCTCCGCAAGCTCCAGGTGAGTGGAGGGATGGATGAGATGCAGCAGCAGCATTTCATTTTCAATGCACATTTTTGCTTTTATCATTTACATGTTTTTGAGTATTTGATTATGTATTGTCATAGAAGTCTGTAGTGTTGTAGTTTCTTTTTGAGATGCATGTGTTTTTTTGTTTGGTCCTTATTTAATAAAGATATAATTATCAGAAAAATGACCATCTAACATCTAAACAGCTGTTTATATAGAATGATGATCTGGTAGGAAGTTATAGCAAACTAGGAAAACAAGAGGGTTTTAAACTACATTATACAAACTCAGATGTTGTTGCAAACTGGAACTTCTTGACTTCTCAACTCTGGCATTATGATATTTCCTTATGTTCTGCTAGTTCCTGAAAGGTACTGTATTTAGTGTGTTTATGTGCTGTAAACTCTTCAGTGTAATGTTACATGGAGCTCTTCATCAACAATAAGAACAAAGCTCTGGCTAGTACTGCATTGTAAACGTATCACATAATTAAACCACATTATGATCCTCCTCTTATTGCTGCCTCTGTGTCTCCTCCTCCTCACCACCAGGCCCAGATGAAGGACTACCAGAGGGAGTTGGACGATGCCCACGCTGCCAGAGAGGAGGTGCTGACCACCGCAAAGGAGAGTGAGAAGAAGGCCAAGGGTCTGGAGGCCGAGCTCATGCAGCTACAGGAGGTACCACGATAGATTCCAAACAAGACAGCACATTTGTTTGTGAGCTGATCGTTGAAGTAAAGGAT